TTTGTCCGAGTTCGGAGACCTCGGCCACGCATATAAACCATACGGCTCCGATTCCGGAGTCCCTGGCAGGAAGTGGTTAAGCAAATGCCAGAACAACAAGGGTTTCCCCGAAATCTGATAAATTTGGGCTCACCAACTACTAGGTGGGTGCAACTGGGGTCAAAGTACATCTCGTCATTGACCACTCCACCAAGCTGCTCCACGAGGGCACTGTAATCGATCTTCTCCTCTTGCCTCATGCCAGACAAGAGGAATTTCAACAGTGGCTTGGGCTGGACCTGTGGGCATACAGCAGAACTAGTTATAATCTGGAAGTGTATTTTTAGACATGAATTAAAAAAAAAAGGCTGTACACCATGGCACTATGGTTATATCCACTGGATCTTAAAATTTTTGGACAACTATTTGAATTTGTTTTCGAAAAGGTTGCATTCCAAAAACTAAGTACCAACAAATCACTACCAAGAAAACATCCTGCCTATTTTTGAGCATCAAAATCGTTCAACTTTTTTAAATGAACCACACATCTCACTATGAATCCGCTTGTTAAAATGCAGTTTCTCGATTCAACTGGTGTATGCTGTCTGATAGCTCAATTTTAGTGTGTTCATTTTAGGTTAAACTTGGGGTAGCAAAAATACACGGTTAAAATGGGGTGGTTTTTGGAAACTGGCAAGCTCTGCTCATTAACTCTGCGGTCAAGTTTGTGGTTTTTCAGCTCGGATAGCAAGGCCGGCTAATCGGTTAAGACCGGGACCTTCTGGGGAATCACACTCTGGACTCTGCAGTCAGTTTTGTGGAGTATAATCCCCAACACCAGATGAGTTCCTTTGTGTGTGGCGATCATACCACATTAATAGGCTGCCCCTCCACAACAGTATACTAAATAGCTTTTAATCACCACTGATTGAAACAATTGAGTTCTTAGCACCTGGACTCAGCACTTCATAGGCTTATCCTATACCTAAATGTATCAGTTTTCAGGCGTCATGTATCCCATGTATTTCAGGATACAGACATTTTCTTTAATGCATCGCAAATCCCTGCCGAACAATCGAGCCTTCACCAACCAGCAGATCCGAGGATGGAATGCAACATGCAAGCTTATGTAAATTAGCAACCTCATGAATGCGCCCCATCTTCCGCATATCATGAATATTTTTGCTACAAGCTCTTACGTCAGCCAAACCACTGAGCCGCAGAACCGAACGTCAAATCATCTAACATGGCACTTTCAAACCGAACCAACCCACTCTGTTAGGTTCTGATGTTCAGCTTTGACATGTCATGGCACTGATAACAAATGAAATGCATGCTGTTGTAAGAAACGTTGAGAAAAAACAGATAACGGAAACAGGATAACATTAACAAGTTATACCTGTGCTAGCTCGGGATAGTACAATGCACACGTGCACGTACATGTGATATGGACATGTACAGTAAACTTACATGTAGATGGTCCCGCATCACATGATGGTGAGAATTCAAAATCAACTACTCCAGACACAGGTACAGTTTTTATTCGATCAATTCACTGCTTTATATGTCAAAAATCAGTGAATTTATCGTGTAAAGTTACAAGGTACATGTACATGTAGGTATTTCACCCGCACTACAATACTAAATTCTCACTACATTAGCGCTTATGTATATTCAGAAAAACAGAAGAGGATTGACATTTCACCCTAAACCGCTCCTTTATTAGGTAAAAAGTGGATTTACACAACAAGACACTGTGGTTTGTACCACACCATCTCTCCAACATTAAAAAACCCAGTTAAAATGGGTGACTGTCCGTTTGGACTGCCGATGGACCAGGAGAGGCTTAAGGCTTCAATAACAAAGGGTGGTGGATTCGGTTGAAGTATGGTTAAAATGGGATGAACATTTTGGCTTGATCTATGCAGTTAAAACGGAGTTAAAATCAGGAAGGAATACTTATTAACCGAGAAACGACATTTCACCCTATTTTAGCGATCTAACTTTCATAGTGTCTAGAATGCCATAAACAACTGAATTAAACCGAAGATTCCCAAATAAAGCTACCTAAGTGACTTTTGCATTGCAGCTTGCAAAATGAATTAAACCAAAAATTATTAGGCACTGTTTCAAAATTCTTATCGGGAAGGTGTCAGACAGAACAGTCTGACATTTATTATTGGTTGGCTATCAGGTAAAGCGTTCTCAAGTGGCCAATTCTAACTAATAAATGACTTTATTTTGCAAGGCTATGTGGTTTCAGTGGAGCAACACCCCCTCTATTATTCACTCCATACAAGTCACTGTTATCAGTCGGATGGCCCTGTCCTTTAGTCAACCGATTGGAATTTTGAAATTTTGATGCCTTAGATGACTGACAAAATGCTCAGGATTTACAGATGAAGAGAAGCTCCACGTAAACAACAAAGTAGAAAAGCCACAACCTTACGACCTCAAGCAACTCTAAAACCTTAAAATCTATTAGGGTAAAGAGCATAATTATTGCTAAGGAAGTGTCTAAACTGTCTACTAACCTCAACTTCGGGTTCCTTGTGATGCACTTGAACCGGCTGAGGTGCCACTGGAGGGTTGGCCACAGGCAGGCGAATCGGGGGTGCCTGCGGGGTAGGGGATGGGAGAGCATCTCTGGGGTCCTCTCGATGCAATGCTGGGTCAGCCGGGCTGTGCCCTCGCTCCTGGAGAGAAACTCTGGACGTATCCCCTGAGACCTGACAAAATGAACTCAATGTGAAAAACTAAGAAATGTGAAGAAGGAACCATTAAACTTTGCCTTTCCACTCTCCTGTTTTTGTTTTGTTTTATCTAGAAGGGTTTCCAAAATCTTGTCTCTCATCAAATTTTCTTTTTGCCTTTGAATGGAAATGAACATACTTCTGGCTTTCAGCCAGAAGAATTTAGTTCCAGGTTATAGCGCAATATGAATTTACTGAGATAAAAATCTAAAGCCTGAGAGATGAAAATCAGGCCAAAGCCAGAGACCCCAAGCCTTAGCTATCTCCAATCCTGAGCTGATCAGCTACCAAGATCTAGAGGCATTCCTTCAAACTGACCTCATCATTCACCTTTGCATTCCCATCCTCTGCCTCCACGCTGTTCTGGGAAGGACTGCAGGACCGCTTGAGCTGGGCCATGATCTTCTCCCGCTCCTTGCGCCCTGTGGGATCGTCCCAGGTGATCTGGACATTCTGTGAAGCTTCATGGTGAAGGTCTGGTGGACGAACTGTGTGAAAGGCAAAAAGAACAGTCAAAGATGTTACCATTGTGGAGAGCCTTGTGGTTTTTACTTTCCAGAAACCTGCAATTAACGAATGAACAAACTATAGAATTTTTCCTTCATATTTATGGGACAACTAACCTTGTCTTTTCAAACCATTAAGCGAACAGTCTGTGATAAAATCACTGCTTTGATCTTCAATGCCCTTTTTAAGAATGATTTACTGCTTTGAGCAAGTGCATCCACTCTTATGTCACGTGTTGGGGAATGTGCCATACACCGCCTAAGGTCTAACCACTCAAAAATATTTCACTTGTCACAAGTGCCACGGCTCTTTCTCAGTTCCCTCCTGATTATCACCTCTTTCATAGCTAACCCACTGACCCAACGTGTCACCATCTCATAAGCTTCACTCAGCAAGAAAAAAAAAGACCTATAAACCCAGTCTCGTGACCAGTAAATCTGCAACTAATGTGAAGTGTAAAACCATGTGATTTTGTATGTGAGTAGAAAATAAAAAACTCCAACATCCCTGTTGCATGACTGGTATATCTACGAGTCATCTAGGCATCAGATTTGGGGGATGATTTCCATTCAATTTGGACAGCAAGTTGCCAGTTCATGGTCATCTGCAAATTGCTAAAAACCACTGTAAAAGGATTCACAGCACTACAGCGAGGTTCTTCTTCTACCACATCTCACATTTTACACACTCGCTATCAGCCCAACCAACTTCCCCACCTGACAGTGCTGTGCCAGTGCCTCCTCGGCTGTCTTCCTCACTGTGAACCATCGCTCGGCTAGAGCGGGTGCGTCGACCACCTCCCCTACTGAGTGGCCTGTCCCTCCCTGTGATGTTACTGGATAATGTGCTGGCTGTTGAGCTGCTCACCTTGTGAATGCGGCTACGCCTCCTGCCACCTCTAGTATTCCTAGACCAGAACATAAATCAGAGGTGGAACATGTCAAGAAGATTCCTATGTGCAAATTAAACACCAGATGAAACTTCTGCAGTGATATTTTTCAACGCTTATTCTCTCACATTTACTACAAACATTTTACAATGATACAACAAATATTGACTGTCGCACAGCACTCTTCAAAGTAAAATTTCTTTGCCAAGATACAAACAGCCATTACAATAACAATGTATTTATGCACTGCATCTTTGCTTTACAAAATTATGTAGCTTAAACCAAACTGGACATAAACGTCCAACGCTATGAGAGAAACAGTTTATCCCAGTAGCTTGCAAGCTTTACCAAAAATCATTCATTAACTGCCTAAATTGGGACAAGATCCCATGTTAAGTACAGATGGCTCTACGACCCAGAGCTTCATCAAAGTCAGGCAAGTTCTTATGCTGGATTCTGCCAGACTGGTTCCAGTTTATGGAATCACAATCTTCTGCACTATCTAGAAAATCACTCACATGGTGGATGACATAATTCCCTCCAGCTGTTTCTGCACCGTCTCCTTTTGCTCCAGGGACCCTTCCTCTTCTGTGACCCTTGACCCTGCCTCGACCCCAGACCCACCCTCCACAGTCCTTCCCTCCTCAACTCCCCTTTCCGCTGCCTCCACCATCCTCAGAAGCTCGTCGTCTTCACTGTCAGTGGAGCCGTCCCCGAAACCATCCATGGTGGCTTCGTCCTGGGGAGGGGGTGGAGTGGGCTGAGGGGTGGGTACAGAAGGGGCGCGTGGCGTGTGTGCCATGCTACGGGTCTGCCGTGTAGTCCTGGTGGGTGTCCGTGATGGGGTCTGCAGTCTAGTAGACAGCACCGACTAAACAATGCAACGGACATAATTTACAAGCCAGAAAGATTTTTTTCTCTCCACAATGACCTAGATTGTCAAAATTTAACTGCTGAATAATAAGATGAATTTGAACAGCATAAAACGTACAACTTATACAACCTTAATGTTGATAAACACAACTAGATATTCTTACCAAACTCATCTTTGGGTTGAACGTGTGTGGGTAGCTTGCTTCATCTACATGCCTCTCTTCTTCTTCGCACTGTCAGAAATAAATCATTTCAGCATGCTACTCTTGCTACATGTACAATTCGTGAGGCAATTTGAATGAAATCGTGTCATATTGCAAGCATTTGTTTTGTCAAAGGGATTGATGGCAAACAGGCCTGCTTGCCCTACTGAGGCATAATGGTAATAGTGAACAACAGCATATAACTCTGAGCAGAATCTACAAGGCCTCTTCCTCTTTGCACAGACGAAAAGGTTTTTTTCTAAATATATAAATGAAACCGTAACAAAAACTGAAGATTATAGTTTCAGACCGAGCATGCTGTCAAATGTGTTTTTTAGTCAGTGACAAGCTTTCAAGTACGGTCAATGTTAAGGTACATGTACCTCTGATAACAACTACTAATCTCAACAGTTTTCAGCTGATTAATGACGATACAAGTGGAAACTCACTGCAAGGAGCCAGAAAGGTGAGACAATAGACATTCCTTTCTCCTTGGCTGCTCGAAATTCTTTTGAAGTGTCATTGTTTCTTCCCTACAAAGAAAACAAATAGGTAGAGAACACACAAGTTTGAATTTACCAAGGAAACAATGTACGAAGCACTTCGAGAGAATATGAGTAACCATTTAAATACCATCAGATTTCTTCATTTAATTTACTTCAATTTTTACAGTAGACTGCGGCGGACTGAATACTGGCAACATATGACAATGTCTTAAATGGTAGAAAAAAAATGGATTTCCAATTCTAAGAGCGAAGAATGAAGACTGTGTGGGTCATTTATTTGGTACAACAGATGAGAGCTGTAAAAAAATTAAGCATGAAGGGGACCATTAATTTTTCTCCACACACATTATCAAATTGTAAAAATCTACTCTTTGGAAATGAAATATTTATGATTAGTTCGGCTGACTGGGTTGAAAAAGACATACTCTGAAAAGCTTTGTACCTTGAAGATAAAATGTGTACAGGTGTCATCAAATGTCCAGCGGAACTCGGCCCCTAATGAAACAGCAACAGCATTATACTCAGCCTGCTGGGCAACGAGCTTCTTGCTGACGCAGACGACAACACCTTCTAGAATTCCCTGAGATTTCACCTGATTAAGAACAATTTGACATGAAAACTGAGCAACACAATAGCACCACACGCTAATCCGACCCCACTGAAAAAGAATAGAGCAGCGAATTGCTCTAGTTTTGAGAACACACTCTGGGCTCTCTTTACAGGGCAGCAGGCCTCGCTGAAATAAACAGGCGTCAATAGATGTTGTTTGTCAGATTAAAGTAGCCGCCAGACAGTCATTCATGCGGGTGTAAACGTCCAGTGAATGAAGTCATGCCTTTTTGAAGAATTTGAAAATGGAAAATCATGAAAAACGCCCGTATTTGTGTATGGCCATTTTAATTCAGCCTGGTGCGAAGAGGTTAATGTTAGTTTGCTGCTGATTTCATCCTAATTAATGAAACAAGTACATTTAGTAAGTTTATTTCTAATGCAATGAGTGAGGCATTAGGCATCCTAAGAAAAGTAAAAAACTGCTACCTTTCTTTGAAGTTACACCTGTCAAAAAGCTGTCTTACCGGTTCATGAAAGACTGTATTGTCAGCTTCCTCGTCTGCAGCCTGCTCCCCAGTCTTCTGTACTGCTTTGGCGATGTTCATGTGGAAGAAATCGTCCAGGGGCTGTGAATGTTTGAGAGATCAGGCAACAACTTGAATGAAATGTTGTCTTCACATTAACATTTTTTTCCATTAAGAATCGGATTCTAATACAATGTTCAATATTAAGAGCTGAAAGATGAAATGTTCCATTCAACGAGCTGCAGGCGAGTTGAATGGAACATTTCATCTTTCAACGAATGACAATATTCTTACCATTGCACTCATAAACATTCCTTATTTGTATACTATACAATTTACAGAATCAATACGTGTTCAACTTAATGGGATTTTAACCTAGATCTTGCTGCAGGGAAAGTAGACTGCATCAGGTATAAGGCTGTTCAATGCAGCGTTTGAACACCGTTGAGAATGCAACTTTGCTTTTCCCTTACCAAGCTCGACTTTCTTGTGTGGCGTTTCTTGTGATGCTGTCCAGCCGGTGACTCCAAAAACTCAAGGGCGTCCTTGGTGTCAAAGGTTGGATGAAAGACCCTGCCATGTTGTAAGAACTTACTGGGCGTGTCCTTGGAAAGAGCAGCGCCGCTGCTGGCGACTGCCAGGTGTTTATTGACAACAGCCAAGTCCTTGGGTGTGTCCTTTGCAGCCACGCCCTGTTGATTCTCTTTGTTGTTGTCACGTAACGGCTTTGATTCCTTCAAATTGCACGGTTGCTCTTGCACTCTGTTGGCATCCAGCCCGGTCACGTTTCTGGTTTCCTCCTTGTATTCTTGCACAGTTGTTTCTTCCAGCTGGGGTTTCTGAGCTGCTGGATGCTTTTCTGACATGTCCCTGGTAACAGGAACATTGTTTTGCTCCTCTGCACTCGTTATCTTGCCAAGGTCAGGTTCTAAAGGAACTTGTTCCCCTCCCTGCACTGCTGTCTGATCATTGGCCTTACTTTCGTCTTGCTGGTCCAACAGATCGACAAGATATTTCTTCTCTGGCTGTCGCTCATTTTTCCTGGCACACTCCAACAGCCAACTTCAAAAAGAAAGAAAAAGTTTTGCATTTCAATGGGTTCCATGCCACAGTCCACACTACTCACAGAGGTTATTCATACAGGCCTACCATAGACCCCATTTGTGCTGTGGTCAAATAATATTCTGCCAAAGGTTTTCATCCATTTCATGCAACCTTGACGACTGACTCTGTATCTTTCTTAAATTCAGTGAGCCCCCCTATCCCTCCGAATCAGATAAAGAAAGGGCAGATCAGAACAAACAAATGGTCACGAGAATTTGGAACTCACTCTTTGGTGATGGCTGGGACTTTCCACTTCTTGGCAGCCTTGTACTTAGACCCGCTGGCCTCCCTCAGCAGGAGGTGGGTGTTGGGCCTCAGGTCATTGGTGGCCTTGCGGGAGAAGTATTCCTGGCACCTGGCCCCAAGGAGTTCGGCTATGTGGATCAGGCAGTCCCGCTCCACTCCGGAAAACTGGCTGCAAAGCGGGAATGGAAAGGACTTGTCAGGGAGGTTTCTGTTGGATTCAACTGGAGTATTTGAGAACACATGTACGATGGGCAATAATTTGAGGTGCTCAGCTTTATTTTGGAGTCTCAAAAAGTAACCATTTGTGTAACAGCAGTTGTGTTAGGACACAGAAACTGTGCTGGCAATGGATATGTAAGGCGGCAATGCGAAATTGACTGAATGTTCTGCCTCGTGTCTAAAACTTGGGATCCCGAGGACTAAGTTAACAAAACCGCCCCTAGCAATGCTGTCTATCCCTACCAGGAGAACTTCATTTAAATATAAAAAGAAATGAATACATCCGAGATTCCGTGGGTGTGCGGGCCAGCCTCAGTGGCAGGAAGGTTAATTTAAATAGGAATGGTCCACTGAAGTGGGTGTGTGATGCTGGTCAATGGGGTAAATGAACTAAAAACCTCGGCTGCTTAATTCCTGTCCGAACAATGGGAAAATGATTTGGGGGCCTGGGCTGAACCTTGTGTTTTTTTGCTTTACAACTTTCAAATCTTTAGGCAGAAAGTGCAGTAGGAAAGTTATTTTTGCGTATTATGATTTTGTGAAAGCATGCTTCAACTCAATTGTCTGCTTCTACTAATTTGAAACAAACCGGAGCGATGATTTTTCCCCTTGTTTAAAGTCTTAATAAAGTCGACTCTTGTTATTACGAAATCCCCAGGACCACGTGAAAACATATAATGCATGCGTGTGCACGTACATCAAAAAGATCTCTCGGTTATAATTAATCAAATATATTGTGATGTGTTTAGAATAATAAAATTCACCGTCATATGAAAACATGTTTAATGTGCATGTAAGATTAATAAAAGCAACTACATGTACACATACATGTGAAAGCATCGATCCAGGGATTTTTAAAAGGCTTTTGATTGTCATGGATGACGAAGCTAAACGCCATGCACATATAGGCGTGTGTGTACCTGCAAGAATGTGAAGATTCATCAACTGGAGCCCACATCCGTGTAAGTGGCCTTTCCACGATTTATAATCGTAAACCGTTGAGATAGATTGAATACTTTGTCGCTAAAATCTTTTAATCATGATTTCGAGTCGCCCGTCTTTCTGCGTGCAGGCAGTTTGTATTCATGAGTCGTCCCCACGGCTCATGTTTATTCGCAGCTCCCTTTGTCTGAATAACAATTACTGCAATTGGTCCAGCCTCGGTTCAGCTCATTAAACTCTGCCATGCTTCAGTGCGTGCTCCCATGCAGGATGCATATTCTCGCCCTCCTTGACAAGGCCCGACCAATCGGGAAGAACACAGGTAAGACGCAGAATAAGGCCGAGTCAATTTCGTATTTCCGCCTAAAGACTAACAATTTCAAATTCATTCATTCAATCAGACTGACAATATCATACACTAAAGACTTTTACTTGCTGCTAGATCAAGATAAAAGAATTCATTCAGTCAAATCATCCTTAAAAAATTCCACATTCTATTCCTTATTCCATCACAAAGAATACAAGCAATAAAAACAATGTTAAGAATGAACATTCATATGCATACATGCCTTTTCAAATACTGTCAGTTGACATACTGTAAACCAAATACGACGCTACTTTACAGAATGATTGTTTTGAACGAACACTAAACTAATTTGGTGGTAGACGAGTAAGATGTTTGATACAAATTCAGGCATTTACCTTAGCCCTTCAAAATCTTTCAAATTCACCAGGTTTTAAAGGATCTAGCAGGACTGCAAAGGGGAGCCTTTTCTATTAGTGCCACATGACAAAAGATGCTCCTTGAAATTTAAGTGCAAAAAAATGCGCTTCTATTTTTCTGCGAACAGATTTTACAGGATTTAGCACAAGGAGTTTGGGCTACATGTAAGTACGAGACTAAGTGTAAACTATTGACAAAACAGAGGTAGAACCTACTTACCTGACGGTCAGAACGCAGTCACTCAGTGGACTGCCATCTTCCGTGATTGCAATCGGTGAGAAGAGAGGGTTGGTGGTTGGGTCCAGAAGCTGGGCTTCCTCCAGGCACATCTGCAGCCAGCAGTTGGAGACCACCTCCTGGACAGAGACAGACACCTCACAGCCGTTGATGGGTACCACGGCAAAGTCTGCCACGCAGCGGGCACCTCCCGTCTTGACCTTACCTGTATTTCAGAGGGGAAAAGTGTCAAGTGACAGACTATTCCATTAAAGATGCCAGGCATAATGTACGTGTGAAGAGAGGGTGTGTTGTTTAGAATATACTCTCAGACATGCAGCACAAAGACTTACCTCCCTGCCCTACAGTCATTTCGAGAATCTGCTCTTCTTGTTCCGGAGGAAAACCTAAAATGACAAAGGTCTTGCCCGAGAAAATACCATCCACCCGTTCTTCAAGCACTGTGACATCTTCATCTACAAGCAGAAAATAAAAAAAAACAACCCAAAACAAAAAAAAACTCAGTTCGACTATGGTGTTTCTCAGAAAATGAAAAGATAGGTGAATCTGGTGGACAGTTCTGTATCATGTCCAGCATTTATGCAAGGGATTTCAAAGGGTACACGAATGTAATTTGTGGGAAATGGAGGTCAACAGTGAGCAATGTACTCACTTTCTTCCATCTGTGTTTCATCCTCGCCACCAGCGGTCCTCTGTCTGGTTGGTGCTTGGCCAGCATCTCCCTGTAGCATCTTGAACACTATCTCAGAATCGTTTAGATCTGCAAATCATCACACAGAAAGTTCAGTCCATCATTTTACTTGCCTTACTACAATGGTTCTTTGGAAGTTGGGTCGTGGATTGCGAGTACATCCATCTTCAGAACTCTTTCATCTCCTGTGTAACTGGATTTTTATCTATCTTTCGCACAAAAACAGTTAAATACATGAATAGCAATACAGGCAACTCACAATACAAAGTGCTACCAAGAGTTTGCCACAGACAGGCTACATTTCAAGTTTACGGTCGGTATATTGCTGAGATAAAGTACACTTTGTATGTACTTTCGGGACATTTAATTGTTTGAGGCATTCCCTACACCACACGAAACCATCACTTTGACTACCTAACACCCATACATCAGGAATTTCGAATTTTCAACCAAGATAAACATAAATTCAGAAAAAATAAGTTTTCCACGCACAGCATTTTAGCGAATGAGACTTTGTCGACTGGTTATCCCATAATGCACTGCGAAAAGTTCTCTGCATGTCAACTTCTTGGTGGGGCAATGAATTGTATTTGCCCGTATTCTTACCTCCGTGGCCTTTTAATACTCTGTTTAATCCGCTAGATAACGAGGCTTGTATCTATTTTTGCACACATTTCAATACAAAGGTTACAGTTCTTGTGACCGTAACGCTTTGCCTTTGCTTCAAGGTACATGTAACATTTGCATGTTGGTTTGTGGACTGCCAGACAGCAAGGGTTGAAGAGCCTGATGGATGAATCTTCCAGATGCTTTTTGAAAATCCTTGTCTTTCTACAAAGTTTCACCGAACTTCTGAGCCACAGAAAACCCTGACGGAGGAGGGGCAGTTGCTCCGACGGACCTGATCTGTCAGGAAGGTACTGCTGCATGACATTGTCATCCTCAGCTTCCTCCTCTCTCCTGCTGGCCGACAGCTTGGGGCCCTCCTCGCTTCTGCTGCTTCTCGCCTCGGAAGGCTTCCGCAGCTGATTAGATCTGAAGCAAGTGATGAAGACATGGGAACCAGGGTTTGTTACATTGCCCACTTCAACAGCATTCTGGGGTTCCATCACAATTATCAAATGCACATTGATATTCATTTTCAAGCTGCAGAAGGCTGGCTGGTGGCAACTCCTATGGTGATCACAGAATTTTAAACATCCTTGTGAAAGGCCACTGCTTACACTGCTTCTCTATTCTCCTGACAGCAGTCACAGGAAGAGGAATATTATTCAATTATTCATCTTTGCTTGACAATGAGCTGCCCAATTTATACTGCTTCCCATAGTTTGAACTTTGACTAGAAAACAGGTAAGGCAATTTACATGTTGGAATATGACGGAAGATTAACATCCAAATAAAACACTACATAGATGAAGCTGACATCCTTAACAATGTCATATTCTTGGCAGGAAGTGAGTGGGGGGGGCATCAAAGAAGATGATGAGATAAAGAACTAAGGCAGCTTCCTCACAGTTATTTTAAAGGCAAAAAGCATTTGAACGCATCCAATTTCAGCATACTTTGAATGTGCAGCTGGTGATGCTGAGGTGACCGGTGGCAAGTCTAGACAGATGTACGGCTCTTCTGGTAGTTGGCGGGACTGCTTGAAGCAGTCCACCAGCCACTGGGCACTCACAACATGGGGTCTGCACCAATGAAAGGCATTCAAAACATCACGATTCAGAAACTGTACCGTGTTGGATTTGATGACTGAAACTTACTAAACTACATGCAAATTGTCATTTCATTTCATTTTCCCAAAAAAATTTGAGAAAAAATTCTGAGAGGTCTTTACTGAGGAAAACGTCAAAGAACATACTTATTCTGCATTACCCGTCCTATGAGGAAAAAAATCATGACGTCCTCTCATATTTAAGTTGATCAAATTTACATATGCGAATGGTGATAAGGGACTGACCACTGTTAAAAAATTCACAAGGACCAGCACAAGGCTTACCGATAGTCATAGCATTTGGTTTCACCTATATACCTTTTCCTTGGTTTTGTGATTTCACTCAAGATTTCTTCAAACAAAAGTACCTGCAACAGTGAGTGAAAACGATTTCTCGGGTGTCAATACTGGATACTATGGGTCAAAACTTTTTACCCCTGACCCCTAACCTGAGAGTTGACTGTGTCATCATGGTGACATGTTCTTGTACTCTTTCCCCCATAACAACATGAGACACACTCTTGTTGATCTGGTTGAAGCGGGTAGCACCCCCAGAGTTGATGATCCTCCGCAGTTTCTCGAGACGGCCCCCCGAGAAACCACTAAGAAATACCTGTAATGAAAAGCAAGTTACTACTGGCTAAAACTGCAATGTCAAATCAGCCAACTAAATACTGTGGAACAAAAATTGAAAAAACAAAAACAAAAAACACGTAACTCGGATGGGCATCTTGATGAAAATGAACATTTATGTGGGTACAACTGTTACAAGTTCCTGCAAATTTAGATGGAGTAATATTCTTTTCTGGGATGTTAATGTGTAAGTGCCTCTGGCAACTTGCAACTCATTGTTAGGATCGTTCACAATTTACACGATGCTTCATATTTATTTCATCTGCATATCTCGGTTAAATACAGTATGAATGCAGTCACGCAACTCTTTATATCTCTTTATTTCAAATGGTTTAATTCCACAAGATGCAGGCAATATAGACATTCAATGAACATGGAAGGCCTCAATAGGTTAAAAAGGTAACAAGTCAGCTGTTCATGGTTCTGAAGCAACACACCTTGCAACCATCCAGGAACAAGCCCGCATCTGCCAAATTCAAGTCCAACTCGTCCAACTCTCCCATAGTGGTGCGCTGCTCGGCCCTCGAGACATTGGCTTCAGTCATGGCCGTGTCGTCAACAGCAGAGGTCATGCTGACATGGCTGATTGTACTGAAATTACCCACAGACATTCCACCTAAACAGCGCGAAACAAAGCATTCCGATGCATTAAGCCAAAGCTTCCTTGCCTGTTCCCAAATCTGGAGACATTTATTGGAAAGAGCTACTCCTACAGAACTTAGAATTTGAATTTCTTCTGATTACAGCAAGAAAGTCTAAATAAAACATTAATACAGACTGTCATTTTCTCTAGACAAAAATAAACTGATAAAAGAATTACGATGTCCAACTTGGTAACTTTGCTAACTACATGTATCTGCTGTTTAAGGTGAAGAGAATAATCAACGGTTTCACGCATACAAGGAAACATTCCAACAATCCCAGAGCCATTTGATTTCTCTTGATTTTTCTTAATATGATTCTTTATTCTTCAGGGGTGTCAGTAAAGCATTAAAAAAATAGCTGAAGCTGCAAGCATTTATCTATACAGTGTGGGTCCAGGGTGTGCTTCACGGCTGCTGGGAAAATTTGAAATGTCCTTGCTCCATAGTTCATTTTATAGCCTTCCGGTGCAACCACGATATTTCAATAATAACTTCTATTCTTTCAATTTCGCTAAAACTTCCTAAAGGCTAAAATGAACTGGTAACAGGTATACCAAAATTGTAAAAAAAGAGGGTTATAGTGCGAGTTGGCCCTTTTCCAACCCGCAAACTTCATGTTGTCTGCCTGTTGCAAACCTTACAGGCAGCAAAACAGGTTGTTTCAAATCATAATGTCAAAACCCATGAACCCTGTTAACTCTAACTGTCCAAGGGTTGATGGACCTAACCTTCCCCATTCACACTAAGTTAAACACCCATATGGGACTTTGTGCACAGAGGCTTTGAATTTATTTTTTCAGAGGTGTGCCAAACCCACTGTAAAAGCAAACTGTCTGGGCCTACCAGACCTATCCCCACAGAAGTAAACACTTTACTACTGTTCAATTCTGTGTGATCGGGGAAGGTTAGGGTTAATGGGTCTGTGGTGTATTCCATCCACTTCCATTTCCATGGATTTTTAACTTGAGAATCAGTATTGTCAATGTTTGTATCCAACTTGGCAGGGAGCTTCTTTGCACAATTATTGTAATTTTTGGATTATAAGCCGCGGCTACGTTGATTCTCACACTGAAAAATGTCTCTGTGGCTTATATGCCAGGTGGCTTATATGGCAAACTCTGAAGGATAAATTCAGTCACAAAAGCCACAGCCGGGCCGTGCGCATCGTACCACATGCAGGTGGCGGAGCCGTGTTTTTGTTGGTTGCCGCTTACATCTGAAAACTCGAAGCTTGGAGAATAAATAAAAATTCACGTTGTCCAGATTTGAGTTATTTACAGGTTTCTCAGAATCATGGAGTCACAAAACATACACTACATGTGTACGTAATTTACTTTACTTGCTCTGCTGTAACATTTTTTTAGTGATTATTTTCCTGCTTTATTATTTTCATGGTGTGTTTTTTGCAGGCCATCATTTTACAATTTTTAAAAATAAAATCAACCACTTCAGTGGTGCATCTTTGTATGGCAAATTGTTCATGTCGATTGTGTTCATGCCACAGAATTTTTTTTTTTTCCAATTGGGTTTTCTGATGACAACACTTTCTGGTTCAAATGGTTATTGAAAAGAGTCAGCACTTGGACTCTCCATGAATGGATCTGTGCCAGCAGTCAGACTAGCTTGAAAACAGGGTTTGTTGCGATCGAGGAGGTGTGTGCAATGCAACACAAGTGGTTCCAATGTGATGACTTGAACCAAGTTCTCATGGTGGATTTTTCATTTTTGAAGCGATTTTGCAGTGTTTTTTGATCAGCGTCACAAAAACCTAAACCTCAAGGTAACTTGATGTAGTGTTCTGGACAGCTAAAGAGGTTTTTTTTATATAAAAACGTATTCTTTTGGCAAGAAATAACCTACGAGATAAAAACGATTTTTCGACTGAACTGACTTTAAGTTACTAACATTTTACTGTACGTCCCCGACCACATAACTCTTGCTGACCACTGGAAAAAAGGTCAGGAGCTGATGCATGGCCCATGCATGACAACCATCCAGCCCGCAAAAAGTATCAAATTTCAGGACTTAAATTCACTTTTTATGGTGACATTTGTTTGCATTTTACTTACTTTTATTATTTTACTACACGTATAGTGGAATCATCGACGTACTGTATGTGCTACATTGGCACTTCGGCACGCAGCACAATGACCTTTGTGGTTGGATCGTCAGCCCTGCCGTGCGGCTTATACGCCGGTGTGGCACATAGGCAGACCTTGAATCTTAATTTGCTGATTTTTGCGTGCAGTGGATTAATTAAACACTAGGTAGCTTGTATTCCCAAAAATATGGTATGCACTTTTGTTGCACTGAAGCGGATAAATATATCCAAAAATTGTTTGAAATCTCATATGAAACAATGCACATAAAGCATGCAAAAGCACTTGATAATGCATGACACATGGACTTTGCCCCATGTGCCAGTTGTCACAAAGCCCTGTACAGGCAAAAGTGAAAATTTACTAGCCTTATTTCAAGCCGCAAATTTACAGAGAGATGTGCCCTACTGCAAATTATAGTGGACATTTTTAGCCATTACCTGTGTAGAACAGCTGTAAAGAGTCCCATGGACACATACATGATACTTATATTTCATGTACAGCCAATCACAGCACAATGACCGCATAGTTCCCACGGGGCTGTTTTAATATATACATATGCATACACACAAGGTTTACGCCCGCACACCGTCGCTGTATGCACGTATGTACATGTACAGTAGATTCTATCGCAGCACTGCAACTGTGTTTCTGCATGCAGTTGGAGTTGAAGAAGAGGATGAATAAGACAAAAAATCAGAAAAAATCTGCACTTGCGCAAGGAACAAGGAACTCTGGCCTGTCAGAGGAAAAAAGCGGAAAATGTAACTTGGCATACTGAACAAAAAAACAAGTCTGCTACAAACTGGAGATTTCACATCCCGATTCGTGTCAGAAAACACTTTTTCCTGAAATCTGGCTCCCTGAGAACATTTAGAAGTACAGTTGACTCTTGTTATTACGAAATCTGTGGAACTAGTGAAAATGTTGATGGTATCCAAAATTTGCTGTATGCCGAAGTGCAGTGCAATGGCTTCCGGTCTCAGGTTCATCACATGTATGATGCACAGATCAACTGCATATGCAGTTGAATCTTGTTAACCCCTTCATGGCGAGACACTTTTCAGCTATTATTCTGGGCCCACGCTCGAGTGAACGCAGTGAAAGAAGGCAGACCCTGGCTCTTGTGCATATGGTAATTGGTCTTTGTGTGTAGCCCAGAAATGAAAAGATCATAATCACCAGCTTCACAATAGTCTTCACTTTGAAAAGAGGCAACGGGAACTTGGAAGCTTGAGTAGAGCCGCATGCCACCGAACAATCAGCCTTTTCACCGTGTAATTCAAGCGTGCAGAGCACGCTGGGCCACAAACCGAGAATTTGCGGTTTGGCAGGTGGCCTTAGTGGTCAAGCGAGGCTGGAATTCTTCGAGTCGGCTTTCGGAAAGAATTTCCCATCGAGAAAGGGTTAATAAGAGCACTGCTAATCAAAGATTCTGCTTATAACAAGGACATTTTTAAGTCCCAATATATTGAAAACAAAGGATTGCAATCCTTTGCTTTTCATTGTTTTTATTCCTGACAATACAAGGTTTCTGTCCTAACAAGGTAATTTGCTAACTCTCAAGGACCTCTTATTAACGAGGTTCGACTGTACATCCATGTACATGTGCTGTAATGTATGATGCTCAAAATTTTTTAAGAATGCTCTCTATGGTATGATTCATGAAATAAAGTGTTAATTTTTAATAATAAACCTGTATGTTATCGGAAAAAAAATTAAAGGTGCATGAGTTACATGACATAAATACACTAAGAGGATGATTGCAATGTGTGGCTGAAGACAAAGTCAACGTAACAACAGCAAAAATGCCAAGACGGATGATCAACTGGTAACTTGGGAAGTAATCTTTCCAACAAAAATTGTGGTGAAAAATATTTCATCATCCATTTTGAAATGTTCAATGTGTTACTCGGTTTCTTTTGGCACATGGCGGTGTTGGAAATTTCAAATACTATGGAAAAACACACATGCATTGATCTTTTTATTGTACTTACTACTTAGGTTTGCACAGTTACGTCTAACGAAAATACGTCAAATATGGGCACAAGCTTAATTGGCAGGCATGCCTGTTCTCTTACGCAAAATCCTTTCCAATATAAATAAATCAGTGTTCTGGCAATGAGTTCCTTGCAGGTTTGCAACTTTGGGATTTACCATTTCTGAGCTTGGGGTTGGGTGAATTCACTTTTTCTGTCAATCAGACTAATTGAACTTTTTAGTTTCATTACATTTTAAAATTTTTTTCATGGGATGGGGTTTCAACTTTGGAGATTTCTCTTAATTTTGGTCTTCCTTTTTATTAGTCACCTGAAGGCTGAATGGCTTCATTTTTTTCAGAAGTTTAAGTCTGGCAAAGGCCCTCTGTAAAATCAATCATTGTTTCTTTACATAATTTCCCTTTGGTGACATGCAAGTACCGCAGATGAGAGTCAACTCGAAACGTCTTCTTGTTTACAAATTACCAGAGGTCAAAAAGAGACAAATCCCAACTTTTGCAAGAAATTGCTCTACAACCAAGTAGTTCACTTTGCATGAGTTTAAAATTACAATGTACCTTTGATAATACACGTAGGTTACTATTTTCATTCTATTTATTTTAAACGGGGCTTATATCTACCTTCCAAAGGCCGGGGGGAGTGCAATACTAGACTACAGTGAATCAAAAGCATTGCACAGGCCCTGACCTACGCAAAGCAGACAGTGAAACAATGCACAGCAGGATCTTTTACCTAAGTGTTGTATCATGGTCTCTCGCAAGAGAGACCTTACAAAACAAGAAGCAAAAGACCCTGAAAATCATCACTTCTATGAAACTAATGCCAAAGTGTCGTGCAATTTAAATGGCCCTATGAACAAACAGAAAGTGTTGAAATTTGGCTTTCAGTTCAGTACGCAATAAACTAGAACGGCAAAGCTGCCATGGCTCGCTGCTTGTTATGAATTTGGATTTCTTTCCAGTAATAACAGAAGAAAAAGAGCCCTGCAAGTTATACAAAATGGTTACTAAATTAAACAAGAAAATACTAACCAAGCTTCATCAACAGTTTTAAAAGATTGGTTGACATACGACTGCAATACAGATGTACAAGACATTTTATCGACCTTAGCAATAAAATTTATTGAACTTTAGGAGAGAAAAACCTAATTAGTGCTGGGTGCAGACTGTGTGTTGAAAGGTGCCCGTTGTTTAAAAGTAAATCAACAAGGACCACCAACAAGCTTAAGGGAGATGCAGGTACAAAGGCTTTACAGTTCTTTACAGGAGAGAGGAATGCCTACAGACTGTGGGTCCAGTACAGTCAGACTAGACCTGGATGATTATATAAGCAGTGCATTTGTGAGTTTAATGGATGGTGCATAATTAAAATTTCTCTTAAGTACAGTTCTGCACTTTGTATCCAACCCATCATCCTATCCTCTACAATTCTCCCCCAATCAGCCATATCCCATCATTCCATATCTACCATGTCTACTTTGACTCCAACCCCACATTCACCTTATCTTTCCATCCATATCCTACTCTGCCCCCTCATCCTATCAATTTCCTATTTCACCCCTCCCATCATCCTATCCATCTCCTATTCTGCCCCCCTCCCCATCATCATATCCATTTACTACTCCACCCCTCCCCATCATTCGCTTCACTTCTTATTCTGGCTGTCCCATCATCCCACTAATCCAGCCCAACCATTACGCCAACCTTATCCAGCATTTCATCCACTTTCTACATACAGGTACCTTGTCTTCATGATCCTTCTCCTACAGGTACAAGTACCCCTCCCCCAACAAACATCCTAATCTGTCACTTGGAGTCCCTCCCATCCCTTTCATTTTTCCCACATACTGTACATGTACATTTGTATGTGTCTAAACACTGTCTATACATACATGTACATACATACATACATGTACATACACACATACATACATGTACATTACAGGAGTGCTCAGTACATATGTATTGTATGTGCTACAGGGTAAGTACATAATACAACTCACAACATTAACATTCAACTCCTACAATTTTTTCATTAAATTCATAAGTTTGTAAGTATTATGCCATATGAGACTATTTAAATACTGATGGAATTCCAAGAAGAACCAAACAAGTACTTAATGGCACAGTTTAACACTTATGGACGTGCAAAGAAAAACTTCAACATTTGAGGACAGCCAGACAGAAGACGGAAATCGGTATTACATAGGCTTGCACTTGCTTTGCAGCTTGCCAAAAACCAAATTCTACTGTCAAGAAAAAGTTGACCTTTATTGTTGCAAGTGAATTCACTGTATAGATCTATGATTATTCTGTTTTCATTTCTGGCTGAATCTGTATGACAGTTCGAGAGAGGTGAGCCGAGTACGATTCTCTCTGCTAGAGTAATCCACTACTGTCGGCAATTTTCCCCCATCTTTGAAACTGCTTAAAAAGCTGGTCTACAATCAACCACTGTTTAGACCACAAGCTTTCCGCATTCCGCAACACCTTTTCGGGGGCACCATCAGCAAGAGGTTGGGACCACTTTGCAAAGGCCGGGGGGAGTGCAATACTCGCACTGACTAGACACAGCACTGCACTCTCTCTAACCTATGCACAATGATCAAAAGTTCAACTCCTGCAATGTACCATGAAGTGTAGAATGCCATCTGAATACTCAACAGGTCAGTCATGCCAGAATATGCCACTTGTCAGTGACCTTCCCCTTCTAAGTTGAATTTGAACCAAGTAAAAAACAAGTAAAAGCTACCAAGTACCAATACACTCTGCACAATGATTCACAATGGCACAAAGCTCTTCACAGCTGCTGGCTCAAGTCCAAGCTTGCCCTGATTCACAAGATAGTGTATTTGGTCTTCAAATCTGTTATCCAGATCACCAAATACCCTACACATTAAAAGTTGGTCAAAATTACAAGAAGGCCTCAAACAGTTCTGCCCAACTCTGAAATGTGACTGAAATGAAATTATGGTATAATTGCAGTGTGACACTGTTAGCTAAACAAAATGCCCTGTACATGAAAGGCCTTACTCACCACTGAGTCTTGGATTGGATCCTGCCCTATTTGGGGTAGACGTAGAGTGGGCATCGGGCGTAACTTGATACAGGTTCTCGTCTTGGCAATACCCTTTATCAATACTGTCAAAGAACCACTGTAGTCAAAGAAAGAATACAAGTGGCAGGGAAAACATCACATAAGGACAAAATTGACCCCCAAATAATTTTGCACTTAAACCAAACCAAATCAAACAAAATAGAACACAACACAAATCACAACACCAAACAAAACACATACCCTTGAAGTAATGCAGTGGATTTTCCATTTCTTTGCAAACTCGTATTTCGGACCTGCAACATATGAAAATGAATAAGGGTAACAGTTTTACAATCCTGAGACAAATCTAAATTCACCCCCTCCCCTTAAAGTTCCAGTATGGTGGCCACACATACACTATTCTGACCTATAGTTCTACTCACCTCTAGGACTGTTAACAATAAGATGAGTGCATTCGTTAAATTTCATCTCCCCGCTGTATTGACCCCCTGGAACAAACAAGACCATTGCCAAGTTTATAAACACAAGTGAGATGACCAACAGAAATCCAGATTTACCCCTTCCAACTTTTTGCAAATGGGATATCAAGTGGGAGAGGGCCAGAAAAAAAGATTGCCTCACTAAATTGTTACTACATGTATTAGTCTCAACACACTTGGTCCTTTCAAGTGATATTTCAGTTATCATGAAACCAAAAAGACCAAGTGCCGAAGTCCCGTTTCAAATCTGAACCAATGAAAATTCAATAACTGCAGGTAACTGCCAGAGGGAGAAACCGAAAAGTAGTGGTTTTGTTCTACATTTGCCATTAACCAGTGGAGGTAATCAGCAACACACCGTCTCTTTAATATTCTCACCATTTTCATCAGTCAATATGCGTATATCCCTCCTCTCGTCACTCTCTAGGCCGGTAACACAGATCACACACCCCCTGAACACTGGACAGCCGAACTTAATCCTAAAGTTCTTATCGGTAGCACACAGGTAACTGGAACAAGCAAACCACAGAGATCATGAATATGGTGTTTGTGTACGAGGTAGATTAAAAGCAGTTCTTAGCCTGTTACACAACCTTAGAATTAGGCGAGTCATTATTTACCCCATTTTGATTGAACTCCTTCGATTCCACAACCTGAGCACTTACTTTAAAAGGACCATGAAGAACACTTACAAACTTTGGTTGTCTGTAAACATTTAGTATTCGGTGCTTTTCCAGCTCACTACTTCAACCAATACTCTGGTAAGTTTTTAACCCTTAGCCTTTTCACCCATCTCTCTCCCCCCCCCCAAGCAATGAATCTAGTTAACAGAAGCAAAACCACTACGGTGTGCTCTTTGAACCCGCACTTGCAAACAACTGCAAAACTAAGACTAATATTCTGGCTTGAAAGTTCCATACACACCAACACAAACAAGATTTTGGTGTGGGAAGACGTTAAGCAATTTAATGGTCATCTCTGATCTAAAAATGATACAGGTGCACCTGTCTTTTCCCCTCTCCCAGCAGGTGTAAACCCATTCTGGCAGCATGACTGGCGTGTTAAGACTAGCAGCAACCTGCAAAAAAATCCATATCAAACTAAATAATCCACACATCCTTTTGTCTTATTCCATAATGAAAGAAAAAAAACACCTTTAACTTCGCCATCCTGTTCCACAATGCGGTGCAAAATTCTTCCGGCAAACATCACTGCACCAGTGGCTATTCCATGAGTTTACCCAAAATAATAACTATTCATTCTCCTTATATTTGTGGGATTTCTGTATTTGAATTTCCATGACAAATAAGGCTAATACATACCACCTTCATTTGCCACATATCACCAAAATATCTTTTTAAAGTGCCACAGCCTCCAATGCGTGAAAATTCATGAGATGCGTGACAGCTATTAAAAGATGCACTGACTTTTTTCCCATGTTCTCAACTCAGCTTTAGCAAGAAGTGCAAGACGGAGAGATCACACGCGCATAACTTACATGGTATTTCTTAGAGCCCACCTCTCCAGCAATAAGGTGTGACACAGTGTCTGTGAAATTCTTCGATACTGTTCCACCCATCCACTGCACCAATCTATGTATCTTATCCTGCTCGAACAGAAAAGGGGAGAAAAAGAGGCCATAACAGTTGGTAAGAGTAACCTTTAAAATAAGCTCAACCCCGAGGGGTGACTTGTATCAGACAGGGGCCTGATTGTCAAGGGCTACATGGTGGTATAGTAAGGCCCAAACACCTAAGATTTCCAGCAAAGGGTCAAAGGCTACTTTCTCCCTGAAGAGGCACCAATATTAGAGAACCCCCATCTAGATTTCTAGACGACACCAAGCACACAATCATCACGGCCAATGTGATAACACTAAAGACCACAGCAGGGACCAGTGCCCTTTGAGATAAAGTCAAAGAAACCTAAGTACCCAAGTAAGTAACAGGCATACCACAAATGAACAGAGTCTGTTTATGTGCACAATTTACTGTATGGCGTTGGGATTTGCAAAGATGAGGAAGGTTGCTATTTACTGACTAGTCAGTTAAGACTGAAAATCTTTGCCATGACATACCCGCTCAGTTTTCTCTATGCTGGAGCAGCTAACAGTGACATGGAGCATGCTGATACTATAGATTGGGTGGTTCACCTTTGGCACCGCTATTTCCTTCTGGAGACAGGACAACACACACAGAGGGCCTGCAATTCTGATAACAGCACAGGGGGGGTGAACTCAGATAAGCACAAGACACAAAGTACATGTGCTTGGTATCAGGACTATAATGGACATGAGAAATAGTTTGAAACATCTGGGACTTCCACTCTGCAACATAAATACCAGTTTAAAGGTCATTTCCCACAGGCCCCTCACAAGAAGCCAGCATGCAATGGGATAAACAAAAAAGAGCCATATTATCTTGCATCTAACACTCACCATAAGCATGTGAGCTTCAATTGTGTTAGAGTGTGAAACAACCCTTTTAATGACAGTGAATCCAACCAGTTCCTTCAATACAACAGCTACACAAGCTTTCACACAGGAAGCAAACTTTGATAGCCCACCTGCAACCCAACTCCACTAGATGGTTGAATGCTTCTCCTTCAAACGGGTCACACACATACATGTTGCCATCTCGTTTTGTCAGCTTCATTACAGCATTTTCGTCACACTTCTCAGTAGGAAGCCCAGCGCTCTGAATCGCCTATAAAATGTCACAAATATCCAACAAAATGAGGCATATTTACATTCGACTGCACAAAGCACATTCAAGGAATGTAACTACACCTTCACGTCGCATCAGTGGGTAAACAAAATCCTTCATGGCAGCAACAAAGCATTACTTAAGGTTGGTGTATTCTTCAGGTGTATACAAATGTGAAGCAAATTTGACATCATGAAACGTTTGCAATGACCAGTGTCCCCAACGTGTTCAACTTTGGTTGATTCACAGCATGAATATTTGACATTACAACTTCGCTTTCACGCTCACTTCCGCAGCAAGTACAGACCAGCTTTTTAAGGTGACCATACCTCAGCTGCCTTCTTGATCCACTCTTTCCTACAGTTGCTGGTGAGAACCAGTCTAATGCAAATGCCACCTGCCATCGCTTGTCTTCAGCATCTAGTAGGGTCTGCCTTACACAGCACAACACTAGTGAACT